TCTGTCCTCCCTGTACAGCTGTATTGAAAGGTATCTAATAGTATATAAAAATTATTTACAAAGTTGCTTTTAAGTACTCTATATCAATGTGTTATTACATTTCATTCTGGCTTTTATAGATTGTTCCATAACTTATTTGATCAAAACAGGACAAAGTAAGATTAAGAAAAGATTTCCAATATCTTAAAAAAGGAATATTAAAATTAATATATCACATATTATGTCTCAAATAGCTTATCTGCCCCAGCCAGGTGGTTCAGTTGGTTGGAACATCGTCCTGTAATCAAAAAGGTTTCAGGTTCGATCCCCAGTTGGGATACATATGGGAGTCAATCAATCGATGTTTCCTCTTACTCTCTCCCCCTTCTCCCTTCCCTCCCTTCCTCTCTCTCGGAAATCAATAAACATATTCTCGGGTGAGAATTTAAAAAATAATAAAATAGCTTATCTGTTATGTTGTTCTTGCAAACACAACACAAAAGTTATCTATGCATCCATATAAGACAATGGTTAAAATTTCTCTCAAGATATTTCTAATCAAAATGAAGCTAGTACAGAAGGTCCACCATCTTGGAAGGCCCACCTACTCAGAAATTTTAGAGGTTTTGGACTAAGGTCACATTTTCAAAAACAAAAACCAGGTGATTACCTAATTAGTCAGACCACTCAAAAAAATTTTCTTTTTCCATTTTTTCATTCTCTGTACCACTATTATCCCTTGGCTATTTCCTTTGTTTATTCTTCTTTTTAACTCATCTTTCCCATACTGTTTCAATGAGCACAATCTTCTGATTTCCTCTTATTCTTTTCTTATTCCCCATACTCTTCATCTTTCTTTCCCTTTTTACTTTTCCCTGTGACATTTGATAATCACCCAAGATATTATTCTATAATCCTGTCAGTATGCAGCATTAAATTAATAGGGCTTTAAGATACTCACTAGAGCCCTGACCAGTTTGGCTCAGTGGTTGGAGCATCGGCCTGCGGACCAGAGAGTCCTGGGTTCGTTTCCCGCTAGGGGCACACAACAAAAATAAAGATACTCACTAGATCAGATATCACTATCCAATTTATGTATAACTACTGAAAAATCTATGTGGACTCCAAATGGTGTAGAATTCCATTCTCTCCCACTGAGATGAAGTCAATTTGAATTAACTGAGTGTCTGAATTGGATGGAAACATACAGACTAAATTATTCTCTAGTCTGGTACCAACCAGACCCAGATTCTTATCTGTACCTGGTAAGAGTTCAAATCAAGTTAATTTAAGTTTGAACTACTGACTTCTGAAAGGCTGTAAGAACCAGAGATGTCTAGTTTCTTTTTTTCCCAGAAAAATGAGTTTAAATGAAAGTGTCAAATTCTTAACCCTAAAACAGTCTTCTTTTTTTTTTTTTTTAATCCTCATCCGAGGACATTTTTCCATTTTTTGTACAGACAGAGTGGGAGGGAGAGAGAGGAAGAGAGAGAGAGGGAAACATCGATGTGAAAGGGACACATCGAGTGGCTGCCACCCGCACGACCAACCAGGGCCGGGGACAAACTGCAACCGAGGTACATGCCCTCAGCGGGAACCAAACCCGGGCCTCTCCAGACCGCAGGCAGACGCTCTAACCACTGAGCCAAACCGGTCAGGGCTAAAACAGTCTTCTTTACAACCATAAACTTGGTAATTATTGACCTAAATTATTATCCCAACATGATGGTATCTAGTAAAAGTTTTTATCATCTAACTCTGTATTTGAGGTTAATTCCAATTTTCAGAAAGTGCTACAAAAGTCTAGCATTCAATAGGTAACTAGCTAGATTTAACTAGGTAAAATTTTTTTAAATTTTTTTTCCCTTTATTGATTTTAGAGAGGAAGGGAGAGAGAGAGAGAGAGACAGAAACACCAATGAGAAAGAACATCAACTGGCTGCCTCCTGCATGCCCCCCACTGGGGATTGTGCCCTGACCAAGAATCGAACTGGTGACCTCTTAGTGTATGGGTCGACGCTCAACCACTAAGCCACACGGGCCTGGCCTAGTTAAATTTTTTACATAGTATGTAATACTGTACCAAATGAAAATAGGCATTTAGTACATACTGATAATTACTACCTACCAACTCATAAGAACTTCAGAGATGATTCTTGGAAATGTAACTGGTATGAACAGTGTTCCATTTGTTCAGTGTAGAATGATATACACATCTTATTCTACAGAACATATCAAGTTGAAAGCTAATGGTACTAAACAGTTTCAGGATGGCTATATTATACTATGTTGGCACTCCTTACTCATATTCAGTACTGCAAATATGCAGGGTAAAAAAGGAAAAGCTCTTTTGGAAATTTGAAATGGGGAGCCAGGCTACTGCCAAGTAGGATATACTTGGTATACTTATGCCACAGAAAAAACAATAAACTATCAGCAAAAATTTTCAATTCAGCCTTTCCTTAGAAATATATGTATCTACATCTATAATTGAAATTAATTAAAAAAGAGTTCATGTTATGGGAATTTACTTTATGAAGGTTTATCAAAGAATACTTTGGTTAACTGTAGTAAGAGGTGGGCACAGCACTCTATTCTTCTAGTGCCTCTCTGGTGTCTAGTCCCCGGCGAAAGTAATGACAATGGCATTCAAGAGTAACAAATATGGGAAAATCCAATGTTCTAATGATATTTATAAAGACTAAACAAAAGTCAATCCCTGCCCTAAATTCAAACATACGGCACATTTACAAAGATATTGCTACTCTAAAAGATTTGATAAATGCCTTATAAAAAGGACATAGAAAGTTGACACCATACTCAAGTTGGAGAGTCATCCATGCAGTTAGCTTTTGTTTTTCTTAAATTACAAAATTTGTGATGATACAAAATTCAGGAAATAGAGGGAAAAATCACTCATAATTATAACAGCAACAAATAACCACTATTATTATTTTAGTATATTTCTTCTAATATTATTTTGGCATATTTCTTCCAATCTTGTATTTGTTTATATACACATATTTTAACAAAACTGGTAGCATAACACATTTTTGTATCCACTTTTTTCACTTATTTTATCATATGTATTTTCACCTATCGTTATATATCCTTCTAAAACATGCTAGTGTACCTTGCGAATATGCTCTTATTGGTTATTTTTCTGGCATTATAACACTTAAATGTACATCTTGTAGAAAAATTTTGGTCCATAGCTCTGATTATTTCCTTAGACAATTACTTTAAGTGTATTGTTGGGTGGGTCAAAGAGTAGGAACATTTTTAAGGCTCTTGAAAAGATTGCCAAGATTCCCTCTAGAAAGAGTATACAACTTTACAAACTGGAACCAGTGATGTGAGTACCCCACCTCTCCATGCAGTTCCTGACCTTACAACAGAACAAAAACAAGAAAAAGGCCTACTTTACCATATCTATCTAAGTTTAAAATATAGAACAGTTTAAGGCAGCTAATATTAGTATGTGTCTGTGTATTACCAATAAATATAGGAAATATAAAAGTTATGGTGAAGGAATAAAATGGAAGTACTGGGTTTAAAAACATCCTAGAACCCTGGCCAGTTTGGCTCAGTGGTTAGAGCGTCAGCCTGCGGTCCTGAGATCCAGGTTCAGTTCCCGCTAGGGATGCGTACCTCCGTTGCAGTTTGTCCCCGGGGCCCTGGTTGGATGGGCGGGTGGCAACCACTCGATGTTTCTCTCTCTCCCTCTCTCTTCCTCTCTCTCCCTCCTGCTTTATCTGAACAAAAAATGGAAAAATGTCCTCGGGTAAGGATTAAAAAAAAACATCCTAGAGATCATCTAGCTAAGCACCTAACTTTATAGGTGAAAAAACTGACCCCACCCCCACCTCCTGCTGGAGGTTTCTCAGTGGTACATAGCAAACTAGGCACAGGATCTAAGGGTCCCAATTCTTAGATCCTTAGATTTTAGCACTGTCCAGGAAGTGGGTTAAGAATTTAGTACCCTCGTTAACAAAATGGAGAAGTTTAATCATGTGTTCTCTAAATACCTTCTAAAATTCTATGATTTTTACAGTTAAGGTTGTAAGAGGCTCTCCAGTGAAGGGAAAAGAATATTGAACCTGCATCTGAATACCTAGGTATAAGCACTAGTTTTTACCCTTCATAGAGTAAGAATTTTATAGTACCTTCATAATGTTCTTAGAAAGATTAATGTGTGACAATCTTGTAAACTACTAAACTATATAAAGTGGTTTAATTACATACACTGTAAAAACTGTAAATACATTTAAAGTGTTATGTTCCAGCATGAGTGTATTAACGAAGAAAGGTCCCAAGAGAGCTGGATTCTTGAACTGGAATTTCAAGGGATAGCAAAGTAAATTATACATAGGATAACAGCTACAAAGCAATTTCATGGGAATGGGCATATCTGAACAAGAGCTACAGCAGAGGTAAGGCCAGGAAAATAACTTATCATAAATACAGAAAATGAAGAGAATAACCTGGCCTTATGAAAGGACTTGGCAGGAAGATTTGGTACATCAGCTGGTGCAAAAAAAGAGGGTATTTTTAGTTAAAGATAAAAGAGCCTGAAGAAATGTATCTTCTCATTGTGCAAGACAGAAGTATAACCCATTAATCAATAGCTACATCAAGTTCTACCAGAAGGAGTACCTATGTAAATAAAATTCTGCTTTGAAAATATCTATTATATAGTCAGAAAACTCAAGCCCTTTTGTACAAGCTCTAGCAGCATGGCATAGGAAAAGGAAAACAACTTATAAAAAATGATGCTGCTGAAGCCTTCCTTTTCCTTTGCAATATAAATCTTTAGATTATATATTTCAGGTAACTGTCACATAAAGAATTTCCAAGTCTGGAATTTATTATTTATTCTTTAACGCAAACAAAATATGAAAAGAATAAACATCACCCATGGTGGTACATTTTACCCACGGTTCAATTTTTAAAGGTTGTGGGCCTAAAGAAATTGGGTGCTTTTTTTTTTTTTTAATGTAGGGAACTGTATTGTAGTTTACCTCTGTCCCTGCAAGCAGGTGTACTCTTCAGGGTTACTATTTCCCAGAGCAAAGGAATCTGGTTGGTTTTGTTTTTTCACGTTGTGCCTGACCATCAAAGGAGGATACTGCAAAGAAAGAACAAAGAAGAGGGTGTTATGCATTTATTTGCACAGGATTCTTAGTCTTAACCCTGAGGTTTTTTTCCAAGTGTCCCCCACAAACAAAGCCAGCCTGCTAGGACCTGGTGAAAAAGGCAGGAGCATGGGGAGTTGGGAGGCTGAAGATTTCTGTACTAAGAGCTTCTCGGTTCTGGTTCACGGTTGCCTTCTCTTTTCTAGGCGATACCTAGGCGCTGGCAGTGGAGCCAGGCAAATTCGGTAGCGGAGCAGATCCACGCTGCCCCGACGCCCGCGCGCACACGGCCCCTCCCCACACCTTTTCCCAGTGCCCCACTGGTTCCCGCGTGCGGCTGGAACGGGAGCTCAGACTGAGCGCTCCGCCAGCCCTCCAGCCCCTCCAGCCCTCCAGCCATGCAGGTCCCTGCCCTGCCGGAACGAATCCCCACACTTGCAGCAGGCTCCAGAACCACCCCTTTCCCTGAGAGGAGCCTGGAGGCTGGTACTTAGCTCGGACCTTCGGGCCGAGGAAAGGACCCTGCCTGGAGCAAGGCGGCCATCCATCTTCCAGCTGCGGGGACCGCGTGTTAATGTACCCTGCACAGCTCCAAAATGGACTCGCGGGGCCTACCGGGCCCCGCCCCACCACCCTCCTTCCCGGGCATTTCGGTCCGCCTCCCGGGTCTTGCCTTTCCCAGGAAGGAGAGGGTGAGGGGAGGCAGGTTCTTCCGGTGTCTCCAACAGTCCCGTCCGTCCGCGGTGCTCCTGGAGGAGGGGAGGATCCTGGTCTGCTAGCTCCCCTTCTTTCCAGGAGGCTGCGCGTGCCCGTGAAGCTCCGAGCGCGGCGCTGGGAAGGGGACGTGGGCGCGGAGAGAGAGGGCTCCGCCTAGAACGAGCGCGGACAAGGTGGCAGCGTGGTTCCCGGGGAGCCACCCAGCCAGGAAGCCGGCGTGCAATAAGATGGTTGGGTTTGGATTGTTGTACTTTTTTTTTTGTTCGTTGCATTTTTAGGAACAAAAAAAAAAGCCCAACCCTTCACACCACTTCATCTGCATCTCTCAAGACTAGAAGCCCCGCCACAGCAGCTTAGGGGAACGAAGACAACCGACAACCGTTTGCCCCGCACCCCACAACCGGGTGGGTGGGACGGGCACTGGAGTTGGGACCTGAGCCCAGGCTCTAGCCAATGCTACAGCCAGAGCACAACCAACATGAGGTTAACTGTTGTGCCCCGCCCAACCTTGCACCTGTATCTGCAGGATTTGGGCTGAACACGAGTGGCCCAGTTCTGGTTAAGATTTTATTTCAGGAAAAACACCTCTACTCTTTCCCTCAGAGAGAAGGAAGAACTTAAAATTGGCTTTAATATACCTGCCGCTAACGGTTTTTCAGTGGCCAACCTGACTCACTGTTCTGATGCCCAGCCCCCTCTATAAAGACTGTGTCTAATATCAAACACACTAAATACTTATCAATGAGCAGTTAAAAGAAGGATACAAAGATGAAGTAATGGCTTCTCCAAATTTTAGTCTGGGGGAACTGAAGCAAGGGCAAAAATCACAGAATATGTATGTCCTGAGGTTGAGTTTGCCCAGGTGGGGAATTCTGGGCTTTGGAAACAGAAGTTTGGGAAAACGTATTCGAGGCCTACCGTACACAGAACTTGGGCCCTGTGACTAATAAATGCTGAGCTCAAAATAATAAAAAAAACACCTCCCCACTCTTCTGAGAGGTCCACTTCCTCACCATGCCCAAGGTCCCTTAAACTCAATTGTGGGTGTCTCCCTTAAACACAATTTTGTCTTTGTAGAACAGTTGCTGTATTATGTGATTTAGTCTTCGCAAGAACACTGCGAGATGGAAATTATCCTCATTCTATAGATAAGGAAAGAGATGAGGTGATTTGTCTGAGGTAAAACAAAAGGCAGAGCTGAGACTCTAAAGTCAGAGTCCAGGTTTAGGTTCTTTCTATAGCACAGTAACTATCAGTGCCAATAAAAATTGCACCCCAGTTTTCATATATTAAATATTAAATTAGTATTTTTAAAGCCTGATTTATAGACATATTTTACATACCCCACTATTAAACTGGTACAAGAAAGAAAGGTTATTAACACATAAATCAATTTATCCTTAATAATTATATAATGTTTATATAGTTAGATCTGGTTGGTGGTAGATACTAATTAATAAACTTCTACCCAACTAAATGTAAAACACTGGTTAAATATACATAGAACCCCTACATTGTTTTAAAACATTACTAAGAGAACATTGTATACTTAAACTCTCCTAAATATAGAAAAATAGGGAAGGAAGACTGGCCTCTCCATCCTCCTATGATTCTAAAAAAAAAATATCAGTCAGGGAATCTCCACATATAGTATAACTAGAAAAGAGAGTAACTGCTGAATTAAAACCTACATACACAGCTACATCCTTCCTGAAGAGCACAATGTAACTAGATCCTGTTAGAGATAACACAGGGATTATCAAAATCCATCACACTGGAATTTCCTTCTATTGACTGGTCTTCAGATAAGTAACAACTGAAGATTGGAATTATATGTCAGCACAGTAACAAGACTATGGATATAGTCGTATTTCTTTCTGTATTTTGTAATAAATATATTTTATAGGTAGAATTTCATATATACATAATTTTATTGTTGTATTGTTTATTTTCTTTTTAAATTTACCTTTATTGTTGAATGTATTACAGATGTCCCTCCTTCCCCCCCTCTTGACCCTCTCCTTCCCGCTCCCACACCCCTCCTGCCTTCCCCACACTATTGTCTGTGTCAATTGGCTATGCATATAAGTTCTTTGACTTGTCTCTTCCTGCCCCACCTACCCCATTCCCTTTGAGGTTCCTCAGTCTAACAACCAATTTGTACTTCTTAATCCCTTCATCTTTTTCATCCATTTCTCCATCCCCCTCCCATCTGGCAAGCAACAAAAAGTTCTCTGTATCTATGAGTCTGTTTCTGTTCTGCTTGCTCATTTTGTTTGTAGATCCAATTGTTGATAGATAGGTACTTATTGTCATTTTATTGTTCATACTTTTTAATCTTCTACTTCAAGAAGACCCATCAACATTTCATGAAATACTGGTTTGGTGGTGATGAACTCCTTTAGTTTTTTCTTGTCTTTGAAACTCTTTATATGGCCATCAATGCTAAATGATAACTTTGTAGGATAGAGTAATCTTGGTTGTAGGTCATTGCTTTTCATCACTTTGAATATCTCTGATCTGCAAAGTTTCTTTTGAGAAATTGGCTGACAGCCTTATAAGAATTCCCTTGTAGTTAACAAACTTCTTTTCTCATGCTGCTTTTAAGATTCTTTGTATTTAATCTTTTGCATGTGGGTGATGATGTGTCTTGGTGTGGACCTCTTTGGGTTCATCTTGTTTGGTTTTCTTTCTGCTTCCTGGACTTATATGTCTGTTTCCTTCACCAAGTTAGAGAAGTTTTCTGTCATTATTTTTTCAAATAGGTTTTCAGTTTCTTGCTCTCTCTCTTCTCCTCTTGGCACTCCTATGATGTGAATGTTGATACACTTGAAGTTGCCCCACAGGCTTCTTAGACTATCCTCATTTTTTTGGATTCTTTTTTCTTCTTGCTGTTCTGATTGGGTGTTTTTTGCTTGTTTATATTTCAAATCGATGGTTTGCTTCTTGACTTTACTTATTCTACTATTGATTCCCTGTCAATTATTCTTTATTTCAGTTAGTGTATCCTGCATTTCTGGCTGGTCCTTTTTTTTTTTAATCCTCACCCGAGGACATTTTTCTATTTTTGTTCAGATAGTGTGGGAGAGAAAGACAGAGAGAAAGAGAGACATTGATGTGAAAGGGACACATCGAGTGGCTGCCTCCTGAACGACCCCAACCAGGGCCGGGGACAAATTGCAACCAAGGTATGTGCCCTTGACTGGAATCAAACCCACGACTCATTGATCTGCAGGCCAACGCTCTAACTGTTGAACCAAACTGGCCAGGGCTCTGGCTGGTTCTTTATTATGCTCTTGAGGTCCTCACTAAGTTCCTTGATGTTCTCACAAAGTCCCATGAAATTCTCATTAACTTCATTGAGCATCCTTTTAAGCAGTGTTCTGAACTCTGCATCTGTTAGACTGTTTATCTCCATTTTGTTTAAATCTTTTCCTGGAGTTCTGTTCTTTCACTGGGGACATGTTTCTTTGTCTCCTCATTTTGGCTGCCTCCCTGTGATTGTTTCTGTGTATTAGGTAGAGTTGCTATGTCTCCTAGGCTTCCTAGGGTGGCCTGTTGTAGGATGTCCTGTAGGGTCCAATGACACAGCCTCCCTGATCACCCAGCTGGTCCCTCCAGGTGCACCCCTCATGTCAACTTTACACCCTTCTGTTGTAATTGAGTCTTGATTGCTGTTGGCACATCAATGGGAGGGATATACTCAGGCTGATCAGCTGCAAGAACTGTGTCCACTAACCACCTACCTCTGACTACCGTGGATGATCAGCTGTGCAGAGGCCCACCACACAGAGCAAGACTTACTTCAGCAGAGCTCTGGTACCCGCTGAGTCCATTCCTTGAGTGTGTCACTTGTGGTGGTGGTTGTGTGGTGGTGCTTCAGTGTGGTTTGAAGCTGTCCACTGGGTGTGCTGGCTCTGGGGCAAGGTCAGACACTGACTGTGTTCTACCTGGGACCACCAGGCCTACAGATGGCTGCTGCTTGTGCTGGGCTTGCAGGTGTCCAGGCAAAGCAAGCTGTAACCCAAAGCTGGCTACTTCTAGTGCCAGGCCTGGGGCCACTTATTGAGAGGTATGGGGCTCACTGTGGCCAGATGCTGCTTATTTGAGAGAGTTTAGGAAAATCTGAAGCAGTAGCCAAAACAGGCCAATCCCATGGTAAAACCACTGGAAACAGCTTGGGTGGGCCCAAAAGTTGGGTGGGGCAGGGCCTCAGGGATTCACCAGGGCAGGGTAAATAGTGTGAGCCAGGTTGCTGGAGTCCCAGCTATGGCACCTGTCTGCCTGCCTCATGGGGGAAGGCTCACCAAAGGAACAACGGCCTCCACCAGCACAGCTGTCTTAGGAGAAAGCTGTCTCTCCAGTCCTTGCCCTGATGCCAAACAACTCAGTTTTTCCCTGTATGTATCTGGTGTCTTTCAAGCTGCCTCCCCTCAGTGCTGGAGCTCAGACGGAGTGGGTCCGAGTAAGTCTGTGCTCAGGTCCTTTAATAGGAGCTGCCTGGGGCTCCAGCAGCTGCACCATTCCTCAGCCTCAGTTCCCGCTGGTTTTTACAGCCAGAGGTTATAGGGACTTCTCTTCCTGGCACTGGAACCCTGAGCTGGGCGCCTGGTGTGGGACGGGGACACTTGCTCCTCAAGGAGGACCTTCACAGCCAAAGTATCCTTCTGATTTTTATCTGCCACACATGGGTATGGGACCAGCCCATCTGTGCCTCTGCCCCTCCTACCAGTCTCCATGTGGCCTCTTCTTTAATTTTGTAGTTGTAGGACTTTCATTCAGCTTGATGTCAGGTGGTTCTGAAGGATGGTTGTTCTGTAATTTAGTTGTAATTTTTATGTGGTTGTGGGAGGAAGTGAATATCATGTTTACTT